ATACAGGGTGGGAGAGAGAGTGGGTATACAGGGAGTGAGAGAGAGAGTATACAGGGAGAGAGAGGGTATACAGAGAGAGAGAGGATACAGGGTGGGAGAGAGAGTATACAGGGAGAGAGAGGGTATACAGGGAGAGAGGGGGTATACAGGGAGGGAGAGAGGATATACAGGGTGGGAGAGAGAGAGGGTATACAGAGAGAGGGTATACAGAGAGAGAGAGAGAGAGGGTATACACAGAGAGAGAGGGTATACAGGGAAGGAGAGGGTATACAGGGAAGGAGAGGGTATACAGAGAGAGAGAGGGTATACAGGGAGAGAGGGGGTATACAGGGAGGGAGAGAGGATATACAGGGTGGGAGAGAGAGAGGGTATACAGAGAAAAATACACAGAGAGGATATAATGTAAAAGAAGATGGACAGAGGGAGACCTGGGGAAAAAACGTGTGATCTGCTTGCAGCCTCCTTCTCACTATATAGCAGCTCTAAATTCATTAGAGTTTGCTGCCCACTATTTCCTGCTACCTGGTCACATGTTTCCTGTGACATCACAGGTCAAATGCTGCTACCGAGATCAAAGGGAGTTCGTATACTGAACTCCCTTTGATCTCCTGTCACAGAGCCGTGCCGGTCCCGGCCGCATCGGGCACAGCGGATCTCGGGGCCGAACACGGCAGTGACAGATGCTGATACAAGTGATCGAGCGCTTGACTGTGTTAAGCTCCCGGCCGGCCGTGTAATTACAACGGCCGGCCGGGAAGCTGCTCGTCGGGCTCCACTGTCTGCTCGTCACAGACGAGTGGATTTTTGGAGCCCTGTGTATATATATATATGTCCCAACTCTGGCAGAACTGTTGCAAGTATCTCTCCTGCGAAGTGTTGAAGTTTTACAGGCAGAGAAACCATTTGGAGAAGTTGGGAGAATAATAAAAACTTATCAAACATCTACTCCAACATGGAAGAGGTCTTGTTGCCTTCACCTTCCTTATCACCAATATGGCGGTATTTCTTTATAATCTTGTTGCAACCATTGCACCATACAGTAAAAGTGCTGCAAATAAGAACTGTTTGAATTTGTCTTATGCGTCAGTACTAACAATGAACAAGTCGCTGGGTTTTCATGAATTTGGCACAATGCTTCTGACTTCATACACACCACCAGAAATGTGTCATGTTTGGGTTTTTTTTTTTTTTAACAGGTTATTCATTTTCATTTAGAAGACACATACTGTAGTACAATTCAGTTTTGCATGGTGTCTGTAATACAACATGAACTTGACTAAATTCAGTGAGGCTGGTGCAAATAATTTATTATGGTCTTTTGAATAGCCGCTACTGTCTACTTATTCAAAATTCATTTTGAATTTAATTATATTGTTGCTGCTTCTTTGTTTGCAATCAGAACAGACAGCTTGCACTTCCCAGAGGTATTCATGTCTCTTTACGAATGCATTTTGGTAAAATAAAATTTCCAGTGGTTTGTATGCCTATTCTTAGTAAAGGGGTAATCAATTTAATGAAAAACCCCCTTGGGAAATGTTTAGTCCGCAAAGCTAGCAGGCTAGTGCATCCTAGACTAACCTACACAGCTGTTCAGTTAGGACCTGCAGCCCAGAAAGAAGCCACTTACAGTTTGGAGATGTGGGAAACAATGCATCTAGTATCAATCAAAAAAAATGGTAGCCCACATAAGCCTGACATAACGAGAATTATGTTATATTGGATATTTTCATTTAATACCCAATTGATTCCCACGTTTGTAGAAATGACTCAGATATGAAATTAGTTTGGTTTATTTTAAGGTTTTATAAGCAGGTTCTAAACATAGGGTGACTTAGGAATGGTTGTAGGGTTAAAAATATAAAACGGCTTACTATTTCATACCTGCTAGTCTGACTATTTCCAGTTTTTCAGGGTTCCATTTTTAAATTAAGAATAAAAACATATCTAAATGTACCGATAAAAAGGCCCTATTACATTATTCTGTTATTCGTGTTACAGTCTCTTCCCCCAATCTAAAATATCTGCTTAGCCATCTGTTACTGCAAGTCAACTCTCATACTGAAGTGTATGAAAACACAAAAGTGCAGAGCTTTTGTGCAAAAAGATATCAAAGAGGAAAATTAAAAAAAGGAAGTGCAAAATAGTGAAATAGCTTATATTACAAAGTTATTTCCAACTAGATACATTATCACCGTCTGGTGGCCAATAATTTGAACAGCAGGGATATTGGTCACTTGATTTCTGTATTTGATTACTGATTCACTTTCAGCTACCTATGTAGCTCTTACTCTGTTACATTGACAACTGTATAAGGACTGATTTTAAGTTCTAATGTTCTGTCTTAAACACAAAGAAAATATCTTAGATGAGAGAAGATGGCCACAAAAGAGTCAATTAAATAAGCTATTGCTCTTCAAACCTCTGGAGATCTCAATATGAGGACCAGCTGGCACCTACGGTCATAAATTGTCTTCATCTGACTGGACTATAATAGATTGTATATGATTAACATGTTATAATTACATATTCTCTGTGTCTTCATGTGTATATATGTACTAAACACTGGTGTAGTTTAAGCTACAGCACATCATTGTGTATTAAGTTGTATAAAAGTAGTTATTGGCCCCATCCTAATAACCCAGGGAACCTATTTGTATAAATACTTCTGATATTGTTCTATTAAATTTGAAATCAAGGCTAATTATGTCTATCTATAGCAGTTCTTACTCCTAACCAGTGTACCTTTTTATTTATTGCTCTGCAGTTGGTATTCATTACTCATCAGGCTCTATATACAGTACATAACAGCTCCTATGAAGTATAATGGTAGCACTGCAATAAAATGGCAAATTTAGCCACTAGTGATGCCACCACAGCTCAGAGTTTGCATTTGTGCCAGAACCATCCATTTTGGTTTTTGAACTCCCCAAAGAGGCTTTTGGCCAAATCTTCAACAACTGTATGTAGGTTTGAGGTCTAAGCAAATTTAGTTTTGAGTAGAAACCTATTTCAGCCTACTTAAATCATGTGATTGTTGATCGGGCCTGAAAGTCAGATTAAGACATACAGTAGCTGAGACTTGCAGTTAGCAGTCAGATTTCTGGAAGGGAATTTTTGCATTTTTATTAAAAAAAAGTCCTGTACATACAAGCAAACTTTTTCTAATTATCTATAGACACATTCTTCCTATTCTATGATGGTGCAATAAACTGGAGTAGAGTGACACCATCCTGTGTCAGCTGGATACAGCTGGGAATTCTGGTATGGATATCTTACTGGCATTTCTAGTATGTGAAAAAACTCCTAGCAACAACACAAAACTCTTGGGTGAAATTGGCCTTTAGTAGAAAAAAAAAAGATTCAAAATACAGTTTAAGGAACAAGATTGACAGACAGGAGTGCATGTAAATCTGATTTAATATGTTTAGGCATAGTGGTCCAAATTACATATATATCCTTTTTCTGGAAAAATACCCCAAAATGCCTTCATTGGTAAAGTACAAGTGCACTGCGATTAATAACTCGAAACTGACTTTTAATGAGCTAGTATAGAAAACGAATGACTGAGTAGTAAAACTTCTGGATACTTGCAATGGCTTTTTTGTATTTTTTTGTATTTTGTACTTGCGTTCACCCCATTTTACCAATGGCTGTTATTGATGTAAAGTGAATAGCCTATGTTCTTTTATGAAATCAACTTCAATATCTTACAGTGCTGTTCATAAATTGTAAACATTGATCTCATTTTCTCCTTCCTAGCGGAGCTTAGACTGTATTAAGATATTCATACAACATTATGGTTAGAGGTGTGTCAGTGCAGTTTGTCTCTAGTCGGGCAAACCAGATTCTGTTGCTAGCCAGTACAAAGTATCATATTGAATTTCATTGTATGTTTGTTGAATCTGTTTTAATGTGATCAGAGGGCACTGTTAAAACTGATCATTCATTTTTCAGGGTTTTTGCTGCTGCGGCAATTGAAGAAATGTGGTAAAGTCAAGTTACCATAGTTTAGGAAATATTGGTAAGTGACTCTACTACTTCACTGATACTTAGATATGTTGGCCTTTTTTATAATGGCTTGATTTCTGGGGCAGTGCTAATCCAGTCATAACTTGGAATAAGGGTAGGAGATTAAAGTCATAACTGCTTATATACAATGTAAGGCTAATGTCAGATGAGACAATTCAGGTGCTAGAGACAAATAGCAAGCAGCCGGATTGCTAAAGAGGCTGCCTCTCTATCCCATGGAATGGCTTCCATTGCAGCCAGAGGCAGCAAGATTTTGTTCTGACGCTGGTCGGAATGCTGCTGAATATTGATCGCTGGCATTGGGATTGACATCTCGCTGCCACAGCTACAGAGGGAGTGATTCCATATGTACAGACAGTCTCTTAGCAAATACTGCTGCTGGCGATTTTGACAGATCGTCATTTGCACAATTGCTAGCGTCAGGGTCGCCTGTCTGACATAAGCCTTAATCTATAGCTTACTAAAAAATGTCTGCAACCCATTAAGAATTATTTTACTTTTCTGACAGAAGGCGGATGGTATGTTTACTGTGCATGCATTATATAGTAAGTATGAGTTAGTAGGAAAATTCACCTTGGCTTTTAAGATGCCTATAGACACTGGAGTCCAAACACCCTCTGGCACCTTGCTTACATAAATATGAACACCTAGGTTGACCAATTATTTATGTTTAGAAGCCGGAAAGAAAATTGTATTGAAAGAGGTTTTGCACAATTGGTGTACTCAAAGGCAGAGGGGTTGATTTACTAACCTTATAAACACACCACGAACATGTATACACCTCTGTAGTGTGTTCCCTCCCAGCATGATCTATGGGTGGAATCTAAACACCTTTGTAGTGTGTACACACCCAGCAGGTGTGTTGTGCAAAGCCCTGCCCCGAATTCCAAGGGGATGTTGTGTAAATTAGCTCTACATTGTGTTGCTTGCGTTGATGAATGCAGGAATGTAAATGCATGAGCTAACCATTTTTGTCTAAACTGTGAAGCAGCATTATATATGCATCATGTGCATGATTTTTCCATATATGGCATTAGTAGAAACATGCTTATAGAGACTTTTTGGTTGATAAATACGCTTTGCTGTGTAAAAATCACACGCACCTGGTGCGTGCGTGTGTTTAGGTTAGTAAATCACCCCCAGAGAGTCAGTGTGCTTTACCCCACAGTCATAAGATTCTTAATACAGTAAACTCCCAGTTATCCGACACCCACGGGGATCAGTAGGTGGAGGATAACTGTAGTTTCTGGTTGTTTGAGAGTTAATAGTGTCTCTCAAGCAACCACACACCCCCTCCCCCCCCCCCCCCCCTTTTTTTTCTCAGGACCGCTCCTCTGCTCAGTAGGCAGGTACAATAGCCAGCCTACTATTGGTCTATTGCAATTTGAAATAGCCAATAGCAGGATGGCTATTGCTCCCCATTGTTAACATTCTGCTGCCGACCGCGGGATGTAGCCGGCGGCTGGAAGCAAGATGTAAACAAACAATTTCTTTAGCAACTAATGCCACTATGGCACTGAAACCTTGGATCCCTCTGATAAGGATGAGTCACTTTCATGACTCATTCACTTCTGTGTACAAATTTCAGCTTGAGCTGTTGAGCTCTGTAAAAAAAACAGACTTATTACATACAAGGCTGTATAATAAAAAAAACATGTGAAAAGGAACTAAGAGCTCCACCTACTGGATGAATTACATACATAGTATCCATATGAAGCTACATTTTAAAACTAGCTTACACCTGCCTAGCTTTAAGTTGTTGTTTTTTACCTTTTCAATGTCATGACGTGTGGCACACATCATTGGTAGCAAAAGGGGTTAAAGGGGATAGTTACTCTATCTCCCATTTTTGGGAGTGGAGGGAACTATACATACTTGTGCAACCTTGCTATTGGCAGGTCATGGCATTCATTAGAGATAATAATTTACAAACTGACATACTTACATTTATTTATAGTGTAATTTGTGTTTTTTCCCTAAAAGAAAAACATATGGCTCTAAAGATATAAAGAAGAATATGTGTAGTGCCAAAAAGGTCAATCATACCATGTGTACTTATATTGCTAATGGGCAAATCCTCATGGCCTTCTGCCATAAAATGGGCATCATTATTTAATAGCGGGAAGGGGAATTATGTTGAGAATGTTGTTCTTTTGATGCTTTTATGGATGCGAAGCTAAGCATGCAGCATATGACAAGTCATTTGGGATTTTTTAAATACTGCAAAAAGGAATTAATGTTAACCAACTGTAAAGCCAGTCAGTTTGTTGTGTTCTGGGTGTTTTTTAAGGCTTCTTGCTACAAATGCACATTGCACTTAAAGTAGTATTAAACTCTCAAACAAATATCCATTGCCCAGCAAAGTATTTCTTTACAATTTTTCCCAAGCACTTACAGTCATTGAGGGGAATTTATCAAAACTGTAGCAGACAAAATCTGGAGCAGTCGTGCATGACAACCATTCAGCTTCTCTCTTTCATTTCACTGAACAAACTGAAGAAAGAAGCCGATTGCTTGCCATGGCCAGCTGCTCCAGATTTTGTCTGCTCCAGTTTTGATAAATTCCCCCCATAATGATAAATCCC